CAGGAGCTGGCCTCCAAGCGGGTGGACATCCAGAACAAGCGCTTCTACCTGGACGTAAAGCAGAACGCCAAGGGCCGCTTCCTGAAGATCGCTGAGGTGGGCGCGGGCGGCAACAAGAGCCGCCTCACTCTCTCCATGTCAGTGGCCGTGGAGTTCCGCGACTACCTGGGCGACTTCATCGAGCACTACGCGCAGCTGGGCCCCAGCCAGCCGCCCGACCTGGCCCAGGCGCAGGACGAGCCGCGCCGGGCGCTTAAGAGCGAGTTCCTGGTGCGCGAGAACCGCAAGTACTACATGGATCTCAAGGAGAACCAGCGTGGCCGCTTCCTGCGCATCCGCCAGACGGTCAACCGGGGGCCCGGCCTGGGCTCCACGCAGGGCCAGACCATTGCACTGCCCGCACAGGGGCTCATCGAGTTCCGCGACGCTCTGGCCAAGCTCATCGACGACTACGGAGTGGAGGAGGAGCCGGCTGAGCTGCCCGAGGGCACCTCCTTGACTGTGGACAACAAGCGCTTCTTCTTCGATGTGGGCTCTAACAAGTACGGCGTGTTTATGCGAGTGAGCGAGGTGAAGCCCACTTACCGCAACTCCATCACCGTGCCCTACAAGGTGTGGGCCAAGTTCGGACACACCTTCTGCAAGTACTCGGAGGAGATGAAGAAGATTCAAGAGAAGCAGAGGGAGAAGCGAGCTGCCTGTGAGCAGCTTCACCAGCAGCAGCAGCAGCAGCAGGAGGAGACGGCCGCTGCCACCCTGCTACTGCAGGGTGAGGAAGAAGGGGAAGAAGATTGATCAAACTGAATGGAAAAAACCCCCACACACATGCACACACACACACACACACACACAGCCACACACAGAAGAAAATATACTAGTAAAGAAAGAGAAGAAAATAAAAAGTTAAAAAGTTAAAAAAAAAACTTAACTCCAAGGGAGCACCACCCACAGAACCTCCACCAACTGACAGTTTCTCTTCTTGACTTGCCACCCATCGCTGGATGTTGTCCACTTTATCCACCATATAAAACAGTAAGCAGCTGCTAAAAACAAAAAACAAACAAAAAAATACAAAAAGTAATAACATTATATGAACTGTGTTTCCTACTTGATTAAAAAATATAAAGAACTGAGTGTTTATTTCCCTAATTAACCAAGAACTTTTGTACACGTTTAAGCTATTATTATTAAAAGTGTTTGCAAAATGGTCAAGATTATAATATTGCTGAATTATATAAAAGTCCTTTTCATGTTGAGCTAACATTTGACTTTAGCACAAAAAAGAGATATTTTAGAACACGTAAAATAATATTTTTAGTTTTTCTCATTTTGTTACCAAATTTCAAACCTTACATGGAGGTTATTATAGTATATTTGACACCCTATATACCTGTGATTAGAGATGTGTATATATATGAGGGCTAGGCATGCTGTGTGTCTGAGCTTTGTCTAAATGTTATGCAGAAGTTTGTAGAGTTAAAGGTACGTAGGTTTAATTCATGCAAGGTAAACAATAAGTGCTCTCTTTTATACAATATGCATTGCATCTGGACCTTAAACATATAAAAATGGTCAGTGAAACTTCTGTGAACATGAAGAAATTATTAAAAAAGGCATTTAAATGAAATTTGCTAAGTTGTGATTTTTACGGTTGGAACCAAAGTTATTCAAATAGTAAAAGAAAAAAGAGAAAGAAAGGAAAGGAAATCTCCCATAATATTTTTCTGCATCTGTTTGCTTTGACTGAGTAGGCGTTTTGTCATTATTGTGTATATGAGATGTACTTGTATCGTTCATAATATATTTTTTTTATTATGTGTAGAAAGGTTTTAAAAACTAACGTGCAGCAATTTCCAGTGAACCTGTACTTGGACATCAGGTAGTGAGTCTATTTGTGGTCACTAGCACTGTCTCCTAAACTTGTAAGAGGTCTGAAGCTATCCTTTGATTTTTGCCAGTGCTATTAACTTATGTAGACCTGTTAAAAAGCAGAGCAACACAATTATAGTTATCCTACTGAGCCATGGATTCTGAGCTTCATTTTAAAAGTGAAAGCCAAGTTGGTATATGTAAAGGATTTCCATGTAGCTGTGGTGCTAGTTATTACTGGCTACATTATATGCTAAGTGTTTTTGTGTTCCCCAAGTGTACAAGCCTTCTATCAAAAGTATGTTCTATAACTCATATATTCAAGGTGTAGGGTATGAAAATGCAAAGCTTAGGAGAGCACTTTACCAAGCTGGTGTCCTCCAAACTGAAATTGTTTGTAACGATAGTCTTTTACAGGTTTTCATTTAAAGATGTTCGTGTGCTTTTAATTGACAACTAACTTCTTGCTGCTGTATAGTAAAATATTAATATATTTTTATCATTAAACTGCTGCATGACTATCATCTTTGAGTGAAGAGAAAATGTTATAAAAAAAGATGCCTTAAACAGTACATTTTGGTTTGGAATTCTGTAGAAAGTATTTTGGTTAAAAAAAAAAAGGTCTTGTCTGACAGAGAGAGTTCTGGGGATGGAATTGTTTTCTTGGCAAATCCAGCCATATAGATCTAACTGCTGTATGTAGAAGACACCACCTGTAGGAGCTGGAAGGTATCAGTGCTTCTCACATTGTAAAGCATTGGCCTAGGAAGGTGAAACAGTTGCCTTTTTGAAGGATTTTTTTTCTGCTGGTTCTTTGGGTTTTGATTTGATATTTTTAAGCTCCCTGGTTGAATGTGTTGTCTTTGTTTTTGAGATCTACTGTATGTGTTGAATAACAAGCTATTTCCATTGTACTGTGCATTTTCCCATTAAATTGTTTGCTTTTAATATTCATACGATGTTAAATATGAGGTGACCGTACAATAGTTAGGAGTTTCTTTACTTACAAAATCACTGGAAATGATTAAATTGCTTTCCCCCTTACCCCAAGATGCATTTTTCTTATTTCCATATAGTAAAGTTGAGCTTTTACAGTGCATAATGTGACATTTGGAATGCTTATCAACTGCATGTAAACATTAATAACCTGCACTTTTTTGTCTTAAGGTTTGTTGAGCTGTTTTGTTCACTGTACTTTAACTGTGATATGGAAAAGACTGCATTCTCTGTGTTGTTACTAGTTAGGAAAGAGAATTGCTTTGATTTTGTCTCTTGTTTACTATAGCTTCTTAAAGTTAAGCCTTGTGCTACAGGTTGTTGGAGTACTCCTAGATCAGTGTTTCATAGTAGCCAGCAATAAGTAGTGCAAGTCAACAAAAACACAGCAAACTTAGGCAAAGTGTCCTTTCTTTGAGATGCGAGTTCTTTCATGAGGTTTTCTTTAGGGTCCGAGTTACCTAAAGTGAAGCCTTTCTTACCTATAGACTTCAGATTCTGCTTGGAATCCTACCGGATCAAGAAGCACATGCATTGTGCAGTTGTCTTTACACTATAACAGTTAAACACAATCTTACTAAGATTTTGAAACCATTGTCTGATTTATGGTCAGTGGGTTGAAAAAGAAATCCACATGCAGATCTTTTAAGACTTAAGACATGATCATGGAAAAGACTAATGACTGTAAAGATGCTCTTTTTTTTTGCATCTCACTTTACCTCCCCAAGTACCCTTCCATTCTTCCCTCTCCCCTCTCCTGTTTCATCCTTTTCCAGCCCTTCCCCCCTCCAGGTGCTCGGTACTTTACCAAGGTTCTATATCTCAGTGTTTTATGTTGGAGTTTTTCCTTGTTTTTATTTTACTAGTTGGTAAACCCTGTTTGTGCTGAAACAAAAAAGGAAATGGTATATTTGACCATATGCTTTATTTATAGAAGACAGTATGATCAAATGTGCCAAAAACAAGCAAACAAAATTTAATTCCTGACAAGTATGCCTTATTTTTAATGATCTGCTTTGTCTTACAATTAAGGTCCAAGAGCTTGGTTAAACTTTATTATTTGCCTAAGTATAAAAGAACACTTCAAATGCATTGTGTTCTTTAAAATGAGAGACACTGTCAAGTAATTTAATCCAGAGATCAGCCACCAGATTTGAAATGCCCATATATGTGTGTGTGTTTGGTGTTATTTGTTTGTTTGTTTTCTTTTAAATCACCAAATCTTTTTTTAAGCAACTTTTTATTTGTGCCTCCTATTTATCATGCTGATGTTTGAAGCAGCAGTCATCCAGCCATAGAGGGAGCTAAAGTAACCAGAACTGTAGAAATCATTATACATGCCTTTGACAACAAAGGAAGTTCATAAGAAAAGCCATGTTGGCTTTTCCTCCACTAGATACAGATTGAAGGTAGATGAATATTTGCCAAATGGGAAAAAAAGACAATGTGAGTCAGGAAAGACAAACTTTTCCAGCTTCTCAAAAGCCATGGAGAGTAGAAACCAAAACTAACAGGGAAATAAAAAACCTTGAAAGTCTCACTTTCTAGTTATCTCATGCAGGGGTTGAAATTTGACTCTTAAGTGGGAAATATATCAGTGTATTTTTTAGGTCTTCACATCTAGATATGGATAACTATTCCAGTATGATTTTTCAGGTAATGCTGCTAGCAGTTTTAACCCCTGCTTAAGGAAGACAGATAATTTCATTTGGGAGCAAATACTTGTTGCCTTGAAAAATAGCACTGTAATAGCCTATGATAATTAGTTATAGAATAACCTTTATCCCTTTTAAACTATGCAAATTATTAAATAAGTGTAAATTAGGACTCAATTAAAGATAGTTGATTATATTGCAATCAGATGGCACTTACAGACTTAACTGGAGCGTATACAAATAAAATCTATTAGTCTAAGAGTTTTGTATGCTAACAGAAAAATATAATTTAGCTACCTATTCTAAAAATGGTGAATATTATTAATATTGTACAATAGGACTGGGAAGACTGCCTCCTTTTTTGAAGAGAGAGAGATTAAGGATTTTTATAATTGTTTTTCATCAAAGTTTAATATTTTTGTCAAATTTTTAGGTATTTAATTTGTAAAACAGTTTGCTTTGTACTGGCATACAGAAAATAGGGTATTGATTTTAAACTTTTTGAAGCCAAGTGATCAAGTACATTTGTAATAAAAGTCAATGGATCTATATCAGTTGTACTCACTGTTTTCATTTCTTATACTTATTAATATAGGAATGCTGTACTTTTTCTGTAGGAAAACAACTAAATTTGGGTGGAAGGGAGGGGAAAAGATAAGTCCGTTGATAATGAGAACCTGGGTGGGTACCATGACCCAAGCACTTTATATAATCTTTAAGTCAGTTAAGATTTAATATATTATAAAAGATGTATAGGTCACTTTTTTCTTATTTTTTTCTTATGAAATTTGATGTTTGTGGGGATTATCTCATTTTTTCTGTTCTTTAACATTTTGCATTTGGCAATGTTGAAACTTTCTAAACTAACACATTTTTCTTTATGATATTTTGGGTTATCCACCAGCCATGGTTGACCCCACCATGGACCTGATTTTTTTTTATCTCCCACACATGGTTCATCCTCTCTTCAATATTCCCACTCATTATTTTTCGTATTACACACACATAAACACATACACACACATATTTCCATGTAATTTTAGAATGGGATTTCGGAAATTGTTGCTCTGGTGGCTTTCATAGCTCCACAATTTGTTTTATTTTACATGTGAACACACTTTTAAGATTTTTTCCCCCATAACAAATGAGATACCGAATCTAATGACATTTTCCCTTTTCATTATCAGAATGAGATTCTGCTTTCTCTGTAGCATCCTTTATGCTAAAATGAGAATCTTTAGCCACTTAGGTTTTGAAAAATTGGTGATAGCTCTGAGTATAACATTTATAGTTGATGATCCCTAACTTTGAGTATCTTAATGATTTGTAGGTATATATACTTCCTCGTGAGAGTGGAATGAATAGGAGAGAGAATTTATTAGAATTGCTTAAGTGAATAAATTCACTGAAGTTATTTGTACAAAGTTGTCTTAAAGTTTATCCACTTTTAAATCATTTATTATAATATTTCTGTTTATCTTCATTGCAAGCTAACCAAATTTAGGCCATTCATAATGAAATTGTGTAAAGCTAAAGTGACCTGCTATTAAAATTACTGTTTTCACCCAGCACATTAATTACTGTAGAGAATTTATAGTAATTTTTTAGGGAAAGCTGATTTTACTACTTGAAGGGTTATTTGATCCTAGAACAAAACCTAAATTTAAGGCCTAGGCCATTTGATAGGTTCTTTTTGAGCAGAAATTTTAATATTATGGGCTAAGTGAAGATCATCTAAACTAACATTAGCATGTCAGGTAGAATTTCCTAATGTAAGAACAACCAGGTGAAAAGTGAAAGATATGATTGCTTTCAAGCCAATAGTTTGTCATCTCAACTGCTAAACTGACTACCAAGTTTTGACGTTGAATGATCCTAGGCAATTTATGTCTTTAGAAAAGTTGAGTATGACAAAGGTCACTTGTTAGAAATATTTTTCTTAAAAAGGATTTCATAGCTACTCATTTATTTTTATTTTGTCCCCATATTGTGTTTAGTATTTATTTCCTTTTTTTTCCCTGATGTGCTTTGCTTTTGTGGAAAATTGTCTTGTTTGATAGGCAGAAACATGGTGGTGATCTTCTGTGTAAAATAGTTACTTCTTACAGACCAGAAATATTTTACTCATTTTTGAATCACAAGATTTTTGCATTTTCATGAATACATCTTTTATTATGATAATTATTAGTAATATGCTTACTAATTAAATTTTTGTAGCATCTCCTAGAAAAAATTTGAGCTAAAGAGTTTAATTTTCTTGATTCAGGGTGCACTTTAATAATTCAAGAAGCCTCCAAGTTCAAGGACCAAACTTTTATATTCTAGAATTTTGAAAAACATGGAAATATTCTTGTTGGCATGCGTTTTGCTCTAAACTGGATTAATGCAGAAGGATTCTAGAAGGGATTTAAGAAAAGATGTCCTTCTTACAAAGTGGCAGTCAAACTTATGGGACAGGTGACTTATGTATTCACATTGACCAGCTCAAATAGTGATGGCCATCAGCTACTGAATTAATAGACTCATGTTGGGGAATGAGTCAAACGCCCATTGATCTGGAGTGGATTGGTAGTTTCCAGTGCAGGTAGTTGTTGGTGACATTTGGTTTACCTCCTTACCATATAACCCTAGCATTTTCTTTCTCCCATTCCCCCTTTTCCCTGTCTGTCTCCTTTATTCTTCTTGTCATAGGCCTGCCAGTGGTACTCCAGTTTATCTCCTTAGGAGGGAGGTAAAGAAATTGCTGCCTCCTGTCTTGGAACATAGCTAACTAATCCCAGAAAGATTTCCGTATGATGTGGTGATTGGACAGTTTTTTATGACTGTTGTTTTCCCCATAGTCTTAAGTTGACAGTTTGAAGAGCGTTGAAATTGTTTAAGAAATTTGAACTGAAGAAAGTAAGAAGTATGTGTATCTTAGGTAAGTTACTGGAAGCTGAGACTTACTGGTTTGGAAATTTGAGAGCAGAAAGGGGAGAGCTGTTTACTGTGTTCATGAGTGGGAATGTGGAAGGTATATTAAGGGAATGGTTTGGAGGTAAAGTGGGAGAGATTTTTGTTGTAGGTAGGAAAAGACACTAAGGTGGAGCCTTATATGAGAGTTGTTTGCTAGGGACAATGAAGTTGATCTTCACGAAGGAAGTTTCAGTAAAACCAGAGAAAATGTGTCCCTTATTGGTTATGAGAAAGCTGTTGGTCTGTAGCTAGATATGATGATGATGATGCATTATACAAGTCTATTTTCAGGTGTAGGATGTTTGCTTTTCTGGATAAATTAAATAGCACAATTGTGGAATGGCAACTTTTCTGGTCAAGGCAAGTAGGTGCTGGGGACTTACTATTTTGAGGAAAAGAAATAAGAAAATTACAAACTTTTTCACAGTTATCATTTTT